GCCAATATATAACTGACGGATTTAAATTGCGCGCCATTTTTTATACACGCATTTCAGTTAAGTGACGCCGTAGTAGTTGTTTAAAGTCCAATAATTCATCGTGGAACGCTACACGATCCAACAACGCGTCCGTATTGTGAAACGTTTTACTTAAATAGTCAATTGTTGCAACGATTCGGAAGCTGCGACACTATTTCGGTTGAAATTATGTGCCCAGTGTCAACACCATTCGACAATTGGTGCGAAAATTTGAACAAACAGGTGAAAGACTGGCCAAGGTCGGGCCGTGTTCGAACTGCGCCTTGAGACGTCACCGGACATCGTTCTCAAGAACTGGGTATTCGTCACAAGTCATTATGCACTATTTAAAAAAAGGCTTGCATTTGCGGGCATACAAAATTCAGTTAACCCAAGAACTACAGCCTCGTGACCGTGAAAGTTGCCGACAACACAGTCATGCAGTATTGCAGCTTAATACCCAAAATAACGATATTTACCAACCACTGATATGAACGCATTTGTTAATAAGTAGAATTGTCGTATTTGGGCATTAGAGAACCCTTGTGTAATCCGTCATCGTCGAGACACAGTTTGGTGCAGTGTTTGGTAAGGAGGTGTCATTTGACCTTACTTCTTTGAAGACGATGCAGGTAATTCCTTACTGTCACTGGAGAGCGCTACCGTGATATGGTCGAAAACTTTCTGGCTCCTCAAATCTAACAATTCAATCTGCAAAACATGTGCTTCCAGCCGGACGGAGCAACTTGTCACAGCTACGGAAACAATGAATCTTTTACGAACAATATGTCCGGGAGGTTTAATTTCTCAATTTGGTGATGTCAACTGGCCGCCAAGGTCATCGGATTTAACGGCTCCTAACCTTTTTATGAGGATTTTTGAAAAATAGGATTTTTGCGAACAAACTAAATAGTGTAGAGCAGCTGAAGAACAATATTACGGAAGCGATTGAAAATATTCCTCCCGAAACCTACGAAAAAGTGATGGAAAATGTAACCAATATGGCTCAAGTTTGCGCGGCTTCTAGAGGCGGATATTTGTATGATATTATTCTTCATACAAAATTTCTAAGTTTCAATAAAAGATCAAGATGACAAAAATTGACATATTTTAATTCACTTCACAAATATTCAAGATACAAGCCAGCAGTTACATGTCGGCCACCCTGTATAATTTCTTTACTGACAATGTGAATGAAAGTATTAACGAAACTGTACGTTTAGAACAACAATGTACCAGTTACAAGTTATGGATTGATGTAGAGGTCAAAAGAGCACAAAGAGAAAAAGACGTTCAATACCAAATTTAATTTATATAATGAAAAACCGAATGAAGTTGTTGCTCTTATTAGATCAAAACAAAATCAGTCTTATGAAGGAAATATTGACAGATGCAAAGGAGACAGCAAACAAATGTTGAGAACCATGAAATATCTCTTTATTTACAAGCATGTACACACTGATTATATGTCTTTGGAAATTAATGGTTGTGACACTATAAAGAATAATTATTTTATCAAGAGTGTAACTGATATGTCTTAGTAAGCACCATACCTTCAAGTAATGAGGAAGCTATAACGGCAGCAGTGCCTTTAGAAGAGGAACTTTGGAGGTTTCAAGAAATTTCACTGAATAGGCTACGCAAACCTATTTTTCAATTGAGAAAAAAACTACGGGTGATGAAGCACATAGCTGCAGTTTGGTGAAACAACTGCTTAATGTCATTAGCTACCGCCTTTTGAATATTGGAAAGACATCACTCGAAACAGAAAAGACGCCTTCGTTGTTGAAGAGGAGTATTATAGTCCCAGTAAACAAAACAAACAGTCCACGTAAGCCAGAAAACTTTCGACCCATCAATGCTATGCCAGTCATTGAGAAAATTAGAAATAGAAATAACAGTTCATGAAGAGCCGCGTGAGAGGCAATGTAGGTTTAGAAGGAATCATTCCTGTGAAACTTTATGCCAATTTGCATGTACAAAGTGGGAAAAAGATATAGATGATAGTAAAGCGATCGTGTGTGTATGTTGACCCAAAAAGAGCTTTTTTAAATGTTGACAGAAAATTGCTGCGGAGAAAATGTGAATTGTATGGAATTAAGGGTACAGCTCTCTTGTGGGTGGGTGATTATTCATCTGAGCGGTTACAAGTGGTAAAAATTTAAAGTTAAATATCTAGTATTATTTCTGTTGATCATGGTGTACCTAAAGGTATCAAACTAGGCTAGGATCATGGATCGTACCTGTCTGATGGTTTAAATTATCTTGCGATTCTGTCGCACTCCACGCTGATCCGCCTACAGTTGAACTTTCGCTCGTTATGGAGTCACACGTGCAGCAACAACGTCGAATTGCCTGGGCAGCAACAACCTACATTCTTCTTAAACATTCGAAAAAAAAAATCGCATAAACCGAAAAACCGTTACTGGGTGAGAACTTTGTAAAACAACCGGTTAGAATATGGTACTCCGCTTTACAGAGAATTTATCGTTGATAAGAAAAGAGAAGAAGGAATATATATAATCTTTTGAAGGTAACTCCAAAAAACTGTGGTCAGTTTTAAAAAGTTTTAATATCTGTTCTACCAAAAATTATGAAATTCCCCATTCTTTGTCAGAACCTGATGATATTAATAGCTTTTTTGCTGCTTTTCTACAAAATAAATCTAACTGTTCGGAAAAAATTAAATTTTATAAAAACAATGCCTTTAAAAATAACTTAACCTTTAACTTTGAATTAGCAGAAATAACAAATATGAACAAAATTTTAAACAACATAAAAAGTAATTCAACCGGGATAGATGATATTTCGCCCTTAATGTTAAAATATTGTAGTCCGTACATAGGTAAGTATATAACACATATTATAAACTGTTCCATTAAAGCAAGCTACTTTCCCGACAAGTGGAAAATCTCCATAGGAAAACCATTACCAAAAATAACTAATCCATCAAGTTTTAACGAACTTCGTGTGATAAATACACTTCCTGCTTTGTCAAAGATATTTGAAAGAGTGTTGTACGAACAAATTTATGACTTTTGTATGAGTAACAATATTATTCCTGGTACTCAGTATGGTTTTCGTAAAAATTTTGGTACATCAGTGGCTCTAACAAACGTACTCGATGACATATTAAGAGCAAATTATAAAAAGATGAGTTCAGTTTTGGTACTTCTAGACTTTTCAAAAGCTTTTGATACCATTAATCATGAATTGTTGGTAGCTAAACTTCAGTACTATGGCTTTAATAAGGAAGGATGTTTGCTTTTAAAATCATATTTGACAGAAAGGTATCAATCGATTCCACCAAATGACACATTCTCAGACAAAGCGGAGATCCTATCGGGAGTTCCTCAGGGATCAATATTGGGCCCCTTCTTATTTTTAATTTATATACATCTGATATCCTTACGTCGTTAAAGCTTTGTAAAGTTCAGGCCTTCGCGGATGATACCCAGGTTTATTGTTTTTTTGATATTGAGGATTACAAATATTACGAAAATTGTATAAATGAGGACATTAACACCTTGAACAATCTCTCATTAGGGCACAACTTAAAACTTAATCCGGAAAAATCGCATATAATGATTTTTGGTAACAAATCTAAGACTGAGTTTTTGAAAGCTAATCTCAATATAATGGCTAATAAATCAAAATTGAATGTTGCTGAAAGTACAAAAAATCTCGGTATAGTTTTAGAATCTCAGCTTAAATTTAAAGATCACCTGAAAAATCTTATGCAAAAATCATTTTGTTCTCTAAAAGGTTTGTATAATAACAGACACATACTAAACAGATCACTAAAAAAAAATTGTGTGAATCCCTAATTCTTTCCAATTTCAATTATTGCGATTTTGTCTATGGGTTTTGCTTAGATCAGGCAAGTAGTGGTTGGATTCAGAAGGTGCAAAATACGTGCCTCAGGTTTATCTATGGTCTACGTAGGTTTGATCATATATCTCATTTGTATAAAGAAATTAAATGGCTTAAAATGAATGAGCGTCGCACTCTCCATTTTTCTAGTTTTTTATTAAAAATTATAAACACTCCCGGTTCACCTGATTCTATAAGAGAACGATAATTTTCCGACATTCTGCACATGATATCAATGGAACATATTTAAAAAAATTAACTATGCCGCTTCATTGTTTCAACGATCATTCTCATACAATGCTGTTAAACAGTTTAATTCAATTACCAACCAGTTCCTTAATCTTTCTCTTTCAAGTTTCAAAATCCAATATAAGAAATATTTGCTAAATAGAAATCTGAACAAACTTTGTTGGAATAGAGATTGATGTTTACAATATAGGTATATAAGTATAAAAAATATGTCAAGCAAATTTTATAGTAACCAGTAACCAAATTTTATAGTGACCAGTATTAATTAATATCTTTTTGAAATTTTAATATACTCGTACTTTCAGTCCATTAAGTGTTAACACGTGATTATTATTATGATTATTCTGTATTGTTGTTTAAGACTTGTTACTATTATTATTTTTTTTTGTATTATTTTGATTCAGTAGAGTAGCTTTAAGCTAGACTTGCGCCAATATTAGGCAATGTATTCTGCATTTTTTTAAATTACCTTTGTAAAGAGATTATTTGTTTTATTCAATAAAGTCATTTATTCTTATTATTATTATTATTATTATCTATTATTATTATTATTATTATTATTATTATTATTAATATGGTACTCCACTTTACAGATAATTAGTTAATGATGGTGCTGAAGTTAGTTTTGCCCGGTTGGTTGCAAATAAATTTAAGTTTACTATTGGATGACAAAATAAGAAAGCAAGATACAAATTATCGTGATGCCATAACTGTGAGAGAACGATTACTATTGACGCTACGGTTTTTAGCAACTGGAGATTTGTACGTCATGTGTCCAAACAATCAATATCAAAGAGTTCCCGAGGTCTGTGGGGGAATCATCGACATACTGAAGGATTGTCTAAAAGTAAGTAAAACCATATTGTATTTTTAAGAACACTTTAATCATATAGGTAAGGTGTGGTAATGTAAATTATTAATCAATTAAATTGGTGGTGGCTGTGGAGGTAGCAAATCATGATATTCAGTGGATGACGAACAAGATGCTGGTGGAGGACTTGCCATAGGTTCTGATTATTGTACAACAGGTTATTCAGGTACTATCGGTTGTTTAGATTCTACCGGTTTTTCAGATAGTACTACTTGTTCAGATATTATACTATGATTATTAGTCTCTTGTGTTTGGTGGTTGACACTCTCAAGTGTGTGATTGTGTGCCTCGTTCACGGATTTTGCAAGATTTAAGTCACAGTCTCCACTGCAACTGTCACTTCCTGTGACATTTGTTTCGTTCTGTAACAACAAAATTACCATAACATTAATCATGCATTTTGCATTAGTAGATGCAAAGTACGAGTTCCTTTATTTAAATGTTGGAAGTGACGCAGAATTTCAGACGGAGGCATATTTAAACAAACAAATCTGTATGAGAAACTTGAAAAAAGGAACTAAGCATTCCACAACCTAGAATTCTCTATAAAGTTCAGGTGTCATATTTTATTCTGGGCGATAAAGCTTTCCAAATAAATGAATATACAATGAAATAATAATAATAATAATAATGACTTTATTCAAAAGATGATCATAGTATGGCGAAGTTTAGCCATGGCTACTCTACCACTTAACCATACTACAACCAGACATTACAAAACATTAGCATAACAACATGAATCAGTAGCTGTAAGGAATGCATTAAAAAGGTAAATATATAATATGAACATATACAAAGAAAAGAAAAAAAAAAGAACAAGATATCGTTCAGCAAAATGAATTTATCACTCAATGTGCTGAGTCCAGAAAGTGCAACTTGACTGTCTTCTTGAAGCGCTGCAAACTTAAGCTCTTAGAGATAGCTGGCAAAGAATTGTATACCTTGACCGCATTATAAGTAAAGGACCTTTCAAAGACCGACGTACGATGTATAGGAATGGAAAGTAGATCATTGTGCCGCAGATTTAGAGTAATTTGGTTACCACGAGGAATCAACTTACAGAGCAAATAGACAATTCTATGCACCAATGAAGCCATAGAGTAGTTGTATAAGCCGTCAACTCTGAGCCACTGTAACTCCTTAATTTTTGAGGAAACGCTACTGTACTTCCTAAGCCCAAATATGAATCTGCAACAGTTGTTCTGAAGCTTCTGCAATTTTGACTTGCAAGCTGAGTCTAGGCATGGGTAAATGAGGACTAGAGAGTAAGCTAAAATTGATAATATGAGGCTTTCACACAACTTTTTACGGCATTTAAAGTTTAGAATATGGCGACTAGAATATAAAAGCTTCATCTTCATATAACTCGACTTCATAATACATATTATTCACATGTAAGTTAAATCGAAGATTTGAATCAAATATAACACCTAGATTCTTAGCATTATCACAAAATGGAATATCTATGTCGTTGATAAACAAGGAGACTCGATTTGTGATGTTGTAATTTTAATGTCTAGGACAGTATGGTATCGGGGTGCATTTTGATGGATTGATGCGGAGACAGTGTCTATTGCAATACGTTAATATGTTATCAAGATCTAGGTTAATTTTATAGGATGCTTCATGTAAGTTGGATTCATTGAAACGAAATGTTAGCTGTGTATCGTCAGCATACATTTGAATGCAACAATGTTCTACACACTCATGCAGATCGAATGTGTATACTAGGAATAAAAGAGGTCCCAGTACTGAACCCTGTGGAACTCCTGATGACAGATACTGTGCATCAGAAGTTCCTCTAGATGTTTTCACTCTTTTGGTGCGATCAGTTAGGTACGATCTGAAGAAATTCAAAGGAACTTCCGACATGCCATAATATTTTAGCTTACTCAAAAGAATCTCATGCTTGACCGTATCGAAAGCCTTGGAAAAATCAAGCATGACTAACAGCGTGCCGGATTTGTTGTCAAGGTTGGAAAGTATCTCATCTGCAAGATGTAGTAGTGCAGTAGTCGTACTGTGACCTTCACGAAAACCAGATTGGTGTACTGGAAAGAAATTATTATTAGCAAAATACTCAACAAGCTGTTCGTATACTATCTTCTCCAAGACTTTCGACAATAAACATAAACCACTTATAGGTCTAAGATCGGCATGTTCAGACGGATTCTTACTTTTGGCTAGAGGTGTGACTATTGCCTCCTTCCAGTTGGATGGGAAAACGCCCCTCTCTAAGCAAATATTAATAATATGCGTGATGTGATCAAGTATTTCAGGCAGGCATAAGCCTAGCATAGTTAGAGTGATGCCGTCACAACCCGCTGCTTCAGACTTGATAGACAAGACTGCATTCATAACTTCACGAGGGGTTACCAGACGAAAGTGAAATGGTGACACGTCGGGATCGAAGCGTCTGTTGCTGTAGCTGTTGACAGTGGATTGTACTACTTTGAGGTTTTGATCGGCAGGCATAAAAGTACTTAAAAAGTATTCGTTAACTTCACGGGTATCTAGCAGATGAAACGGTACATCAACACGTTTCTGTTGACAGACATTCATAGATCTAAGTGTTTTCCATGCTGATCGTGTACTAATATCACCATATCTAGAAAGCCCTCTTCTCCCTACGAAAGGAAGCAAGTGCGTAATTCCGCATATCTTTATACGTAGACCAGTTCACATCAGATGGGTCATGACGAAAATTCAAGAGAGCCTGGTCGCGTTCCTTAAAGATGCATCTCAGGTTCGATGTTATCCATGGAGCAACCGGTTTTGCTACACGAGCAGTTCGTAATGGCGCGTGCATATCATATATTTGTATTATGCAACTAGATAGACAGCTTACTTTGTCATCAACATCCATAAAGTAAAAGATACGATCAAGTCCAGCATGAAGTAAGTCGCCCTTGAAATTAATCACATCAATATTTTTTATATCTCTAAAAGTTACTAACTTGGTTTCAAATTTAGGAAGCTTCAGAGCAACAGCACAGAAAACTAACTTGTGGTCGGGCACAAGATCAGCATTAAGTACTCCTGATTTTACAACACTGTTTGAATTGCTATAAAAAATGGGGTCTATTAGAGTTGAGCTGAACTGAGTTACACGAGTCGGATCATTTATTAATTGATCAAAATTGAAGCTGTCGAAGCAGTTGCTCAAAGGATTGTCATGATTCAAAAGGTCAACATTTATGTCACCAGGAATTATTATATTATCAAATTGAGGTACGAAGAAAGAAAGCATATCATCAATGGTATCAATGCTATCTGTAATTGAGGTATGAGGAGGGCGATACACGACGACAATAAGTAGGGTAGAGTTGCCCATGATGAGTTTGCAGCATAGCAATTCTAAGGAAGAGTCACCTACAAAATCAAGAGTATCAATAACGGTAATGTTGAAATTATTTCTTATATAGAAGCCAACCCCTCCACCCCTACCCAAACGGTCTCTACGGAAAAGCTGGTAGCCTTCTATAGATACAGCTTGACTAGAAATGTTTTCATTAAGCCACGTTTCGGTAATGCATATAATATCGAATTTGTTTTGAACCAATCCACAAAAACAGTCGAAAGCAGTAGTCAAGGACTGCACATTGAGATGACAAATATTTAAAACTTTGTTATTAAGCCTAGCCATAGTCAATTCTAGATTTTAATTCAGCATATTTCTTTAAAAAACATGGGCATTGTCTGTCTGATGCAGCATGGTATGAAGGTACTCCAGAAAGAAGTTTAATTGAAAGAATTTTCAATTACAAACTGTCAGGAGGTCGAAGAATAGTCGAAAACGTGTTTGGAGTACTAGATTCACTGTATAGTTTTTGCTTTTGGAGCCAGAGACAGCAACTAAAGTTGTGTTGGCAGCAGTTTATCTATATAACTATTTACACAATAATTCTCACTTGACGTCCTCGGTAACTTTTGATACACTACTGGAGACTGGAGAAGTAGTTCCTGTAAGTTGGCGAAATGAACCCCTGATCACTACAACTTAATGCCATACCACGAAGAGCATCAAAAATGCCTGAGACATTTAGTCCCATCTAGCAAATCATTTTGTTACAAATAGTTTGGCAGAATGATTACCAGTAAAATAAACAGTTGTATACTTAAATGTTGTAAAGTATCTCTTGTTGTCCCCCGAATAATTTTTTGTGCGATAAATGCAAAATCACCATGTGCAAACCACTTACAGCCGGTGCACACGGACGTATTTTGACGGTGCGGTAACTCAACGTCGACGTTGCGTCAACGCAGACAGTGTTTTTGAGAGAAGTTCACACAATCCTACAATAACGCATGCAGTTCTCTCGACGCGAGTAACAAGATGGTTTTTGATCATAAACAATGTGTTTTATTTGTATATTACGTATATAAGTATCATATTTGTACAAAGAAAAGAAAATACTGGGCACATCCTTATATGAGTGCCCGACCATTAAAAAGGAGCATTTGTTCGTGATTTTTTGGATCTGAGAAATGACGAGAAGTTTTTCAATTATTTTAGAATAAGCTCCAAATCGTTTGACAAATTACATGGTGTCTCCTAACCTCTTCAATCAATATTTCAGTGTCTATATCAACGTCCGTAATTTTCAACGCACTGCTTTCTGTCGCTCGTGTGTGCTCAATGATATAAACTAATGTACCGCTTCGCCGTCGGAACGTCTAAATGTCGTTGGGGCGTAGCAGTCACCACACGTCGGGTTTCGAACGATGGACGTCGACGCAGGACGTGTGAATTGATCCATTTACATCAATGTATTTCAGAGACGTGCGTATTTTAACGTTGCGTTAGCGCATCGTCAAAATACGTCCGTGTGCAGCGGTGATAGACAAAAGTATCTCCAGCACCTAAAATGCACATCAAACTGACTAGAAACCTACGTGTATTCTCATCTATTAAAAAACCAGAATGTTTTTTATTTTGGCCTTTTTTATTTTGTTCTATAAACTAACCAACTATACGTATATTTTTGTTGGTCTGTGTAGATAGCCGCTGACAATCAGTTACACTTTGTCAGTTTATAGCACTGATTTATACGAGTAGATTTCATTATGTACGTTTCTTATTTACATATGTTTAGTTCTTATTTAAAGTCAGTCGGGTTATTCGGTTTCTTAAACTGATTCAGTAATACGAGTACGACTTTGTTTTTCTCTGAACGTTTCTCCTGAAACCACCCGATAAATATTTCATTTTCTTCTGTATCTCTTCAACTGGGGCATTTTCAATTTCACGACTAATGTCTCTCCGTGTATCCTACCTCGCTCCGCTGTTAGTGTATTTGCTATTATTTGGATCCCATAAGCATTTCTGCTGTTTGTAAAGCGATATTAGACGCCGACTCCC